CCCCCACCCGTTTTCACTCCCCCAACCCCTTCCCATACCTCCACCCACTGTCCCACCCACCGCTCCTACCCCGAACTCTCCAACTCAAAACAACCCCATCCGATCCCCGCACACCCACCCTCGCCCCGTCTCTTCAAGGAAAATCACCTACTGCACCATCCCCCGTACCAATCGCAACCATCACCTGAAACTCTACCACACACGTCTAAAAATGCCGCATTGCAAGGACAAACAGCAAAAATGGTTATTCCTACGTCCAGTTCCAGAATTTGGCCCCGTCAACCTCAATTGAAATATGGTCCGTTCTAGCAACCCCAAATCAAATTCTCATCCAAAGGGTACATATTTCCACGCGGTACAGAGCTTAGCTCATCACAGGTGATACAGTTTCCCACATTCACTCCCCTCCAGATCCATGACGAGATAGTGTCCCTTTCCAAAATTGATGTCGCCATGATAAACTTGTGTCATTGGAAATGGAGAAATCTAACCCACACTGAGCCTTTCCTCTTTGTCCATTTCTCTTGTCACCCTCCCTAGAAGCTCTGGCCTCATTTTGTTATGTATGCTCCATTCTGCACACCAAGTGGCGAACAGACTAAGCCAAAAACGTTCTTTGCTTCTCTGGTTGTGTGGCCTCTTTGCAGGATGCTCAATTTTTTTTACCAGTGCCATCTATTGCACGGGTTGTCCCTTTCCCACACAAGGAAAGGCTCAAGAAGATTAAACTGAGGCGGAGGAAGGGAAAACCTGTTTGTGAGTACATTCCAGTTTTCAGTTGCTGGAGCAACGAGCTTGACATGCATTTTGCCATGCTCACACAGCAAGGATTCTGTATTGCATGCCATCTAATGCGAGCTAGGTACTTTTGGGGTGGGGATGGCGAGAGGGAAGTCAAGGTGGACACAGTTGGAATGCGTGTCCTGTGTGTGCAGAATGCAGTGGTAAGTGGGGAATCTCTTCTTTTCAAGGTTTTTCTTTTGGTTTCCGCAGGACATCTTTCTAACTGTTTCTTTCTGTTTCCAGTGTATCTTTCAACCCATTCTTTCCATTTGCACAGGATCTTTTGGGCTATTCTTTCTGATCCCATAGGGTAACTTTCTAGCTATATCCATCTGCGGCATAGGGTTTTACTGGTAGTTTTTCCCATTTCCACTGACTGGACAAGGTTGGAATGTGTCCCCTGTGAATACAGAATGCGTTGATAAGTGGGGAATCCTCTGTGTCCATGCTCTGTGGTAAGTGGGGAATTCCACCAGCACTGTGTTTCAGTGCCACAGGTGGGTCCCCACATATTATGGGTTTCAAGTTGCCGACAGCTCTATGGTGTTCTGAGGACAAGTTCATTTCTGTTTGCTTGAGATTTGAACTGGCTTCTGGGCAAAGCCCTACCCCGCATTTGCATGGTCATCATCAAGAGTGTGTTGGTGATTTCTGGTTGTCATTTGTTGTCAATAACTTTGCAGAACTCTCCTGTATGCGAGGTGGTGAAACGGCACAGCTTGAAAGTTCGGTTAAGTATGCAGAGGCCCAAGGCAGAGCAAAGGGAGATTATTGCATTCAGAATGGGATTTACAAACAGGGAATCTGATGACAAAAAGCTGATCATTCAGCTCGCATTCTCAGTACGTACTCCAATCTGACATTTTGGTGCTTGCTTCTCCACTGCTCTCTGCTACGTTCTGTTTCTGTTCTCATCTCCATTTCCGCATGATTTTCGTTGTGAGTCTTTGCTCCATCAGTGCGTAAACCACCGGTCCCCCTGACGTCAGAAACCTTGGGGGTACCGGTAGTCCCCCTGACGTCAGAAATTTCAGGGGTACCTGTGGTACAGAGTGGAAATCCGGTCGGGCCTAAAAAAATGGAATTTGTGAAAATGCACAAAATCGGCGCGGCAAATGTTTGACGGTCAAAATGAGTTTTTTTTTTTTTTTTTTCTGATGTTTTTGCCTGAAAGGTCACGACCTAATCTATGGACCCTCAAATTTGCAGACCTTTTGATGAATTCTTCTGAGCACAAAAAATCGGCAAAGTTGCCGCTTGCGAATGGCGGGATTGGACCCGCCTGTGACAAACGGTGGTCGCCGCCCCTCCGTACAACCCGGCCCTAGCTCACCGGCTCGAGGGGTTTCAGCTGGGAGGGGGACCGGTGGTCTGTGCTTGGTATGGTGTAGCACAGAAGCCCGGGCACTGACTTGCTAGTGCCTGCGCTACCGCTGCTCGGTTCAGGCTGGCTTTGGCTGCCTGGTAGGCTCACTACTAGGCTGCCTAGCCAGGGCATGTCTGGGCAAAGTGCTGTGCAGCCCCACGCCAGAAACCAATTGAAGAAAATGAAGATGATCCGAAAAATAAGGTTGTGTAAGTTTGCATGCGGTTGGGTGTAATGCTGTGCCGCAGCTGTCTGAGCTGAGTCCTGCTGTAGATGGAATCTTGCCGTGGATTCGCGTGGAATAAGCTTCTTTAAAGTTTTTTTAAGTTTTTTTGTTTTTTTGTTTTGTTTTGTTTTTTTTGTTTTTTTTTTTTTTTTTTTTGTTTTTTTTTTTTTTAATAACAAACAGAGGCTTATGGTTCTGGATCCTTTTCCATTCTGGGGAGAAGCCGTGGAATAAGCTTGAGATTTTTTGTTCCAGAACTATGGCCTGTGTAATCAGGATTAGCTGTGGTCCAAAATTCGTGGAAGGAAAGGTGGAGCCCACGGTTCTTCTGTTTCTGTCAGAGCGATGTGAGAAACAGCCGCGTGTGACAAACAGCTCTTCATGAACACACTTCACTTCCTGTGGAGAAGTTGCACATCATGTGAGGCTTTACTCTCACGGACGACACAATGTGCAAAAAAGTTGAAAAACAGAGCTGCAGAATTACAAGATGCTCCAGCATCACAGTGTAGCCTACACCCCAAGTGTGGCAATAGACTCTAGTTAAAAGAACACAAGCATATAACTCTAAAAGATTAAGAGGAATTATGATAGAAGATAAAGAGGACCACTGTATGTCACAATCAGAGGAAGGTGAAATACGCAAGGGTTTAGGTTTTAGACAGATCTAAGGGTTTAAGGTGTAGGGTTAAGAGAAACCTAGGCTAAATAGACAAGGGTTCAGGGTTTAGATGGATTCAAGGCAAGTAGGGCTTAGGGTGTTTAAGATTTCAAGAGGCTCACAAGCGTCCCAGACCGCTCTAGCATAACACACAGACCCGACAGCATTACAGCTGAGAGGAGCAGGACTGGGGTCAGTTAGATTTGCAAGGGCCAGTCAGGTTAAGTAGCCCAGGCTAACTTAAGCAAGGGTGAGGGGTGGTACATCCTTCCTCAGGGAAGTAATCAATGCCGTCCACTCAGGCCTCTCAGCCATAATGGGAAGGAGCGTGCATGGGTTTCCCATGTATTCCATATATTGACTTGCCGGGGGAATAGGAACCAAACTGTCGCTCCCAAGAATGGTAGGAGCCAGAACCATGAGGTTCTGTAAAATAATAATAAAAATATTAAAATAATAAAAATAATAAAAATAATAAAAATAATAAAAAATGTTCCAGCATCGCCCCTCTGCCTTGTCCACTCGGGCGACGTACTATGCTCATCCTTCTCCGACATAACCGTATCTTTTTCTACAAGATCCCTCTACCCTGTGAGCATCCGTCATCCAGCTCCACCTCCCATTTTTCCCTCTAATCGTCTCCATAGGTCACCCGGTTAGATCGATGTACCCGCTCTCCCTCCTCGATCGACCTGAAAGGTCCTTTCTAAGTCCTTCATACCACATGAACCCTTTTTTTTTTTTTTCCAAACAGAACCTTATGGCTCTGGCTCCTTTTACATTCTGGGGAGCATCAGTGGCTCCTTTTCATTTTGGGGAGCATCAGTCCGGTTCCTATTCCACCGGCAAGTCAAAAGAGATTACAATGGTTATGCACACACACTCCTCCCCATATGGTTGAGTGGCCCCAGTGGACGGCATTGATTACAACCCGAGGGAAGGATATAACCCCTGCCTAAGTTAGCCTGAGTGACTTAAATTCTGATCCCAGTGACTATTGTGCCTTCTGCTATCTTTGTTTATGGGTTGGAGCGTACCAGTGAGGGCCTTGTCTAGCTTGCTCCTCTCAGCCACATGGCTGTCATATCGGAATTCGGTACTGGAGTTGCTAGCTTGGCGCATTAATGTCTATGTTGCTAAAGAAACAAAACAGGTTCTAGAATTAAATTTCTCTGATTGAAAGATCTATGCCTTCCCTGAATCCCCGTCTAACTCTTCCTTTGTCTCTTTATTGGCCTGGGTACTATGCTGTTGAAGTTGGCACTAGGAGAGCCAGGATGGTGTAACTATTGGGAGGTTTTGGAAGTCTAGGACCCTAAGCCCTAGGTTGCTCTATGGGGGGTTCCTGTTTTCTGGTGTTTCTGGGGTGTGGCTTGGGGTGTCAATGGGAGGGGGCTAGGGGGCTAGGGGCCTTGGGAAAGGGGAGTATAGTCCCGTGGGAAGATTATTCGGTGTAAGGGGGATCATAGTAGATATGGGATAGTGGTGTTAGTCAGGAGGGCGTATCAGGTTTGGCTCTAGATGAACGAAAGGTGGCTGGTTTGGGTGAACTTGTGTTGGTGCTTGTGATGTTAGCGAGTGATTAGAAGAATTATTGATGGATGGGGAAGGGAGGATTAGTCAAATTGGGACTTAGTCTGTCCATTTTGTCCATTTTCCTTATTCTATGCGGCCATAAGTATTTTCTCTTTTGACCTTCTACTATTTATGGGCCTGTTTGGCTTAGATAATGTCATCTGTTCTGTCCTGTAGAACGTGATGGTCTGCTTCCCGAGTGGTGGCCTGTGGGTCCTCGTGATGATGCTCGACCTTTGGTTGTGCTGAGTTGACATGGTTAGCCAATTTTTCATTATCAGTCGGTTTCCTTCTATCGTGCCTATATTATCAGTCGGTTTCCTTCTATCGTGCCTATATTATCAGTCGGTTTCCTTCTATCGTGCCTATATTTCCTCCTCAGAGTTTGGATGTGGTGAATCTTTTGATAATTTCTGGTTTTTTGTCTGGGTTGTTTTCGAGTTGGGTCTAAGTCCTCTTCCATAGGGCATATATTCCGTTTCTTTGAGTTGTTTGATGGTGATGAGGGGGTTTTAAGAGTTAGTAGGGCTGTCTTCAAAGGTCTTTTCACACCTCCTTTTCCAGATAGCCCACAGGGTCGTCTTTCTTATGTGTGAAAGAAGAATAAATCAAAGCCTTACAAGGGCGGGGGTCAGGGGGTGGGGGGGGGTTGGTATATCTAGAAAAATGGTGCCTGGCTTTATTTGTACGATTTTGCTAGAGTGTTTGTTCCCGATTCTCTCAATCTCGTACAAGAGGATTTGGGATTTTTCGCACTCTAGGAAGCAATGGTTGAGTGTTTTGTTCGATTCAAGGTTGCAGACTTTACACCATGAGGCTTGTTCGGATCTGTCTTCTTTCCTTCTTTGTGCTAGCTAATTGTTTACTGGGACTGCTGTGAATGTGATGAGCCATAGTACGCTTGCCAACTAGATTGGCTTTGCACCGAATACAGATGACCAGGAGGGGTTGGAGGTTGGACTGGTCATCCATTTGGTCTGTTTGTTGATTATGGTTCTTTTTGTCTCTTGGAAGGGGCCATTGTTTGTTAAGTATCCAAAAAAGACCCGACATATTAGAGGGGATTTATATGGGGCCATTTCTCTGATGTGGTTCAGAGCAAGTGGTACCTATTGGAGGTTATTCTGTAGGATTAGTCTCAATAATATGAGTCAATATCCATTTGGTTTGCAGAGCCTGTATTTGGGTTACCGGTTGAGAAGGTACTCCCACCCCCTGGCGGCAACACTGTCCAGGCGTTGGGAGAACAAAATGGGAGTACCTCCAGCAAGACCGCCCGGAATACCATGGAACCAGATTAACACCAAACGCATTGGACGGGTTAGGAGCATGCAGTGGCTGATAGCCCATGTGGTGCTACCCGTAAGTGACTAACTGAATAACGGTAGAAGTCGAGCACAGAGGAACCCCACCAACACACTCTGTACAGTATGTCAAGGGGAGGTTCCAGAAACAATGCTACATTGCCTTCTGTTTTGTCCAGAGGCAGTCAACGTAGGAGAGAAGGCTAAGACTCTCTGGGAAAAAATCACAGAGGCCGCATTTCCACGGAATAGGGCCACCTTACTCCTACAATTTTCTGCCCAGCCACTCTGGTGGAGGACTTAGAAGTGGATCTGGGAGAATGGGGGGGAAGAATGTGAGTAGCCAGAAGGATAAATATCGTAAATTACACTGCTCGAATAGGTTACCGATTAAGCAAGTGCTACTACCCCCTGGTGGCAACACTGTCCAAGCGTTGGGAGAACAGAATGGGAGTACCTCCAACACAGCCACTCAGAATACCATGGAACTGGATTAACACCATACGCATTGGAAGGGTTAGGAACATGCAGTGGCTAATAGCCCACGTGGTGCTACCAGTAAATGACTGGTTGAATAACCGTAGAAGTCGAACACAGAGGGACCCCGCCAACACACTATGTACAGTATGTCAAGGGCAGGTTCCAGAAACAATGCTAAATTGCCTTCTGTTTTGTCCGGAGGCAGTCAACCTATGGGAGAAGGCTAAGAC